TTGTATAAGGAAATATCCATTTTTCCCTATAAATGCAACATTCGTATTTCCTTGCAAAAATCCACCATTTTAACCATGTTTTAAGCTTCTTGTTGTGAAAAAATGGCTACGTATATTAAGAAAAAAAAAAGGCAAAATATAAGCCCCGCCCACCCGCCCTATCTCAATTCTGATGATTTTTTTATTCGTCGAAAGCGGAGGGGCGGAGTTTAACTGTAAAATCGATATTTTTTTACGAGAAATTACCATGGGAAATATGTTCTTAAGTAAGCGTGTTATACAAAATGTATTAATTAAAAAAAGAAAACCCAAAGAGAAGCCCCACCCATTCGTCTCGATCTCAATCGTGGCGAATTCTTCATTGGTTGTCAGACTGAGGGGCGGAGCGTAATTGCAAAATCGATCTTTCCCTATACAAATTTACCATTAATCCATAAATATGACAGAAAACTGCACTGTGGAAAATGATGGCAGCTATTTAAAATATGGGGGTTTCGCCGCACAACTTCGGTCTTTGTATTTTTATTTACCCTGCGTAAGCTAAGGAAGTATAGTAATCGAGTCCATCGGACGAATAGCCACTTTTATATATTCTCGACGTTTCGTGACCCCTAGTGTACGAAAAAATTAGTATCCCGTTTCCCTATGTCCATCTGTCTGTCTGTCTGTTTGTTTCCGTCTGGTGTCTGTATCCATTTTTTTTAACACGTAATCTCCGAAACTGCTGCATCAATTGTTATGAATTTTGTACATAGTATAGTAGAAATCACATGTAGATGGTTAAATGCTGGTTTTTCCTAACCATCCAATTTTTTTCAAAAACATAACGCACGGTATAATAACAGCTTATCATTAGCCTAATGGTTACGAGTCAGAAATGCGGACCAGATGTCGCGCGTTCGATTCCAGACTTATAGCCTTCCGTATTTTTTTCTCTGTTTCTCTTGTATTGTGTATTACCTATGTTTATGACGTTATAACAAATTTTTTTCTGATGAAATTACCCCACTGCACTGTCTCGAAAGGGTGAGAATACACCCCTCTTTATTTAAAAATGTGGAACCTTCTCGAGGGCGCCAAATGTCTTATTTTTAATGTAAAAGCTTCTCAGGGGTGCCAACTGTCCTTTGTTAAAGAACGCGAAACCTTCTCGGGGGCTTCAAAAGTCTTTTCTTTTAATGTGAAATCTTTTCGGGGGTCTCAACGGTCTTTTTTAAAAATATAAAACCTTCCAAAGGGGCTAAATTGTTTTTTTTAATGTGAAACCTTCTCAGGGGTCCCAACTGTCATTTTAAAAAATGTAAAATCTTCTCGGGGGCGCCAAATGTATTTTTTTTTTTTAAGAATGTGAAACCTTCTCGGAGGTCCCAACTGTCTTATTTTAATAATGTGAAACCTTCTCGGGGGTACCTACTGTCCTTTTCAGCCAAAACCTTCTCGGGGACCCCAAATGTCTTTTTTTTATTGTGAAACCTTGTCGGGAATCCCAACTGTTTTTTTTTTAAATAAAACCTTTTCGTTGGACCCAACTGTTTTTTTTAATGTGAAATCTTCTCGGGGGTGCCCAGTATACTTTTTTTTGTAAGAATGTGAAACCTTCTCGAGGCTCCCAACTTTTTTTTTATGTAAAACCTTCTTGGGGGTCCCAACTGTCTTATTTTAAAAATGCGAAATCTTCTCGGGGGCCCTAAATGTCTTTTTTTTGTAAGAATGTGAAACCTTCTCGGGGCTCCCAATTTTTTTTTTAATGTAAAACCTTCTCGAAGGTCCCAACTATCTTATTTTAATAATGTGAAACCTTCTCGGGGGCCCTAAATGTAATTTTTTTAAGAATGTCCAACCTTCTCGGGGGTACCAACTATCTTTTTTTAAAAATGTAAAACCTCGGGTGTCTCAACTGCCTTTTTTTAAAAATGTGAAACCTTCTCGGGAGTAGATACCAACTATCCTTTTTTAAATAAGCCAAAACCTTCCCGGGGGTCCCAACTGTCTTTTTTTTTAAGATAAAACCTTCTCGGGGGGCCCAATTGTTTTTTTTAATGTGAAATCTTTTCGAGGGTCCCAACTGTCATTTTTAAAAATTTAAAACCATTTCGGGGGTGCCCAGTGTATTTTTTTTTTGTAAGAATGTGAAACCTTCCCGGGACTCCCAACTTTTTTTTTTATTCTTAATGTAAAACCTTCTTGGGGGTAACAACTGTCTTAATTTAATAACGTGAAACCTTCTCGGGGGGCCTAAATGTCTTTTTTTAAGAATGTGAAACCTTTTCGGGGCTCCCAACTTTTTTTTTTAATGTAAAATCTTCTCGGGGATCCCAACTGTCTTATTTTAATAATGTGAGACCTTCTCGGGAGCCCTAAATGTCTTTTTTTTAAAGAATGTGAAACCTTCTCGGGGGCACCAACTATCTTTTTTTTTAATGTGAAACCTTCTCGGGGATACCAACTGCCCTTTTTTTTTTCTATTAGAGTGTGACTAGTACTTTCCATATTGTTTTTACTCCATAGATGTTACCACGAAAAAGCAAAATTCCGCAAAATCAAATTTTATAATTTTTCAGAGATGCAGTATTTGTTGGACCGTAGTTCAGAAGCGAGGGAAGTTCTGTTGACCAGTTTTTTTTTATTTTTAATAATTGTACAGAATTACCTCACCCCTAAAGTGTCTTCGAGCAAATACAGTTTCTTCGCAGTCCGCACAGCATATGTTTATCCTCGATATTATGTTTGAAAATTTGGAAGAGTGCGTCTATTAAGCACGTAGCAAGTTCTCTTCAAAACAGAAAGGGCGATTAAAATTATTATTTATTATACTACAATCGGGCAAAACATTACGAATATTATTTTGGGTAAGTAGCTGTTATTATGATTATTCCTATTTTATTATCATTAAACATAGGCGGGCACTACATTACTGCATTTTCAAGTTTTTGAGAAAATAAAAAAAATATAGATAATGTAATACTAGTCACACTGTAAAAAAAATAATCGAAGATTATGCCAATTCTTTAAAAAGTTATTCAATTTAATTGTGCGAAATTTTGCAGCTTTTGTGATAACCTCTATAAAGTAAAACAAATATAGATAAAACCAGTTATGTAGTAAACTTGGCAAATGCGATACTGAATGCTCAGTAGTGTACTAGTGTAGACTTTTTTGCGAAAATTTGGATGCCTAGCGGAAAAACATAAGCCGAATTCATAAACCGGAATTATCAGGTGGCAAACAGACAAACAGACAGACAGACAGACAGACAGACAGACAGACAGACAAGAAATTGTACAACAACATAAACGTTAAACACTACAGAACCTAAAATTTGTATAAACAAATTTATATTTCTTTAGATTCTACACCATATGATACGGATTAAAACGATTAAAAGTTATTTGTGCATCCCCTCTTCAAGGTTAATAACGTCATCGTAAAATTTAATAAATATTTGTTTAAAAATATTCTTCTGGGCTTGTCTTTTTCTAGAATTGTTTTAACAAGGTGCTTAAAATTATTTAGATAATTATTATATTGGATGATTCTTTAAATTTCTGCTTAATTTCAGTGCTGACGTAAGGGTCATTTGTTCGAATTTCGTCCGCTTTATTTTGTGATTTACGTTGACTATTTTTTAATTTAGGTAGTTATGTCTAACATTTACTGATTTAAAATAAAACTGTTAAAATAATAATACACTTTAATGTCTTCGAGTAAATTACTATAAACTACAATTTCAAGAAATAGTGAATATTATTATTATCAGTTGATTTTAAACAAAAAACAACGGATAATGGTAAAAGTTGAAATATTTCCTCACTCATAAATGTAGGAGCTTTTAGTATTGCGAGTGTACATAGATATTACTGTTTATGATTATCGACCCATAATCGTTATATACGGAAATAAAAAACCATCAGCGTTCTGATAAAATGAGAAACCTTTGTTTAGGTTACCCTGACACGATTTCCCATGTTAGTAGAGTGTAAATCCACCATTTATTCGCCGTTTGACAGAATAACGAGCCTGATGATGTAATAATCATGACAATAAATAGCAAAAATGTTAATATTTTAAAATATTTTTGAGAACATGTTTCTGAATCATACAGGATGTTCCTGCAAAGATAATGATAAGGAAAATGTAAAACTAACTTAATAACCACGTTGGTCAATTTTAGTTTCTTACCTATAGACGGTGAACATGACATTCCTAATATATATACAAAATTTGAGAGAGAGGCATGAAACGTCGAGAAAAGATCGATTACAATAATTCCTTAGCTTACACTTGGGAAGCAAAAAGTAATGAAGTAATAGAGCTTTGGTTTTACACAAAACTAAACCTCCACAGAAATATTTCCACCACAAGTTTTGGTCTTTTACTTCCACAGAAGATGAACATTTCATTTAGACACAATAACACAAGCTAAGAAATTTGTATCTCAATAATTGATCACAAAATCAATTTTAGTAATGATGGAACTAGGACAGGCAGTAAACAATGAATAAATGACAAGCAATAATAAACAGCGCTATAATACGCCAGACGAGCTGGAAATTGGAAATGTAACAGCAAATTGATTCGTGGTATTTGTATCAATCAAGAAATAAAAGATAACGAGGGTGTGGCCGTATCGGTGAATCTTTCATTATAAATAAAGGTGTTTTAATAGTTAGAAATGAAGGAAATCTTTGATCAGTGAAGTTACCTACTGCTACTGCAATAGGAAAATCCGGGAATTACTTTCTGCGTTTCCGTGATTTTCTCGTAAATTATGTAAGTCTAGAAACTCGTAATGTTGATATTGTGCATTCCTTTCCATAAAAATTCAACTTTAATCATCGTGAATAACACGTAGTTGTAATATTGAAACAATTTGCATTTTAATAAACTACTCAGTACGTTCCACGTACACCAGTTATGCAAGAATTTCAAATTTATTTCTTATTTCAAATACCAACACTTGTTAGAGTAAATCCATACGTAATTGCACTTTTATTTTCTAGATAATGGGGCCCGCATACATATTACCACTCCTCTTCGGCGTGACCTTCGCCATGGACAACCTTGAAGTAGCCTATCAATGGAAACAATTAGACTTTGCTTACCCATCGGAAGAAGCTCGACAAGAAGCAATAAAAAGTGGCGAATTCACTCCCGCAAATAATCTACCTTTAGGTTTGGAAGTCCACGACGATCGTTTATTCATAACTGTGCCAAGATGGCGCAAGGGGGTTGCAGCCTCCCTCGGCTACATCAAACTAAGCGGTAAACGTTAATTTTTAAGTGTAATTAAGTGTTACTACCTCTGTTTTCTTTCAGACCCCATGGACTCCCCCAAACTCCACCCTTATCCCAACTGGCAAGCCCACAACCTTTCGGGCTCCCCTGAAATCATCTCCCCCTTCAGAATGCGTGCCGACAAGTGTGGAAGACTCTGGGTGCTAGACACTGGCGAAGAAGACATCCTCGGCGAAGCCAAAATCCACCAACCCACCACTCTTCTTATTTACGACCTCTCCACCAACACCCTCATGCGAAAGTACCAAATACCGGAAAACCAGACCAGCAAAGACAGCTTCTTCGCTAACATAGCGGTAGAAGACCACAACTGCAGCAACAGTTTTGCTTATTTGGGAGACTTGGGTGACCACCCTGCAATCGTCGTCTATTCCTGGAAGAACAACACCAGCTGGAAGGTCAAACACCACTATTTCCACATCGACCCCTTGATGTGCGATTTCAGCGTTACTGGGATCGATTTCCGTTGGAACGACGGCATTTTCGGGATGGCGCTATCTAAGCCGGACGCTGAAGGTTACAGTACGTTGTACTTCCACCCCATGAGTAGCGCTCACGAATTTGCCGTGAGCACCAAGTACCTGCGGGAAGACGTCTCCGATAAGAACTTCCACAAGTTTAGAAATTTGGGGAGCAGAGGGCCTAAGAGCCAGAGTGGGACGTCTTTCCTGGACCAGAACACAGGAGTTCTGTTTTACGCTTTGTTGAATCTGAATGCTGTGGCGTGTTGGAGGACCACGAATGCGGAGTATACTATGCACTCGCAAGGGAGAGTTTTTATGAATAATGTCACCATGGTGTTTCCCAATGATATTAAGGTTGATAGTAATGATGTCTTGTGGGTTTTGTCGGATCGGCTGCCCACGTTTATGTATAAGTTTTTGGATGAGAATGAGGTCAACTTTAGGATATTTAAAGCCAAGGTCGCGGATGCGATTAGAAGGACTGCTTGCGATTCTACGTTTGAGGTAAATAGTACGACGATCAAAACAATTACCATTGAGAAGAGGAATGTAGGTTTCAAGGTTGAAAGTGTGATGAGTATCGTTCTTGTAGCGTTGGTTGCCATATATAGTTTGTAAAGATTTTACCAATGATGTTGATATTTTGTAATTATTGTATAATTGCCGATTTTATTTATTTATTTTTAGTGTAAGATAAGTAAGTCACGAATATAGTTGTCGATACTTGTATCGTTGTTGTACTTATATAAAGTTTGTAAGTATGAAATGTGCGTGTCCTGGTTTTTATTGGCGTTTCTAGTCGAATTACAGTAGAGGGAGCTCCGCTTTCAAAAATATTTTGAAATCCAAAAATGTTGATAGCAGCAAGAATAAAAGATGTACGTAATGAATGTTTAAGTAGGTATGAGGAATTTTTGTAGATGTTTATTTTTGGAAATGCAAATAATGGAAGAATTTTAAAAAACAAACATCTCGTTTTTTAATAATAACTATATATGTATATGTATATATATGCACAATGTTAGAAAAACAAAGTAGATCTTAGAAATGTAGAAATACTTTAAAAAGAACCAACAAGTTTTATGGAATAAAAATTTTCTTCAACTATCTTTGTTTTAATTCTTGTTAGCTACTATACATATTTAGGAATACCCAAAAGCTAAATTGTCGAGAGTATATATTGTATGTTTAATTTCAGACTTTGTGGACGCACTATATACCATAAAGTTGGAGATTCTATAATATAGGCAATGGGTCAATTTTTAAGTTACTAGTAGATACATATTAAAAAAGATCGTAGAGAAAATTTTAGAGACCACACGTAGGATAAACGTTTTCAAATAACATCATTGATGAGAATAATGAGACAACAAAACTTTTCAAAAGCATTCTTTTTTAAGTACACTCCATAATTTCTTTTATTTATTCATATTGGTCATCCATATTTGTTTCTTTTTATCACTCACGCCAACTTCCAAATGGTTTATCCAAGTTTTATTTATGCCGGTTTATTTTAGTGATTCATTAATTCATTAAAATTTAATTTTAGATTCAGTACGATGAACTTGTATATATTATGGCAACCTTAACATTGTCGTTACCTTTTTTAAACTGAGACAATTTTCCATTACTTTTACGGTGAATATACACCGACAACTATTTCGTTTAAAGAAGTCCGTGAAGAAACTCGAGGAATCAAACGAATTTAGATCTGACTTCGATAGGTCAAAACCTAGATACAACTTTTTTATGTTGCTTGGTCATTAAACAGCTGTGAAAAAATGCGACTCACGACGGGTGGTATAGCTAATTTCATAACCTCATAAATAACTCTTAATCAATCATAATTCATGAATGATATAATGAAGAGTTTTATTATTAATTCTATACTTTCTTCATTTTACCAAAAAAGTACAATGGTAAAATGCTAAAATGGTATTTATCAATTATCATTTAATGAAATATTCAAAAAACAGACTTTCAGTCAACTTCGGTTAACCCTGACTTATTGCTTTATACTAGTCTGCAGCTGTCCTCTTAACTGTTTCGATTTTTCAGTTTTTCAAGTATTCAATTTTTCAGGTTTTTGATTTCTAGAATTCTCAATTTTTTAATATCTCAGTTTTTGGATGTTTCAGTTTTGGGATTTTTCAGTTTGTTATTCAATTTTTCTATTTTACAATGTATCAATTTTTCGATTTTACAATTTCTCAATTTTTCAATAATTCAATTTTACGTTTTTCCCGGTTTTTCGATTTTTCATTTCTCCAATTCTTAAATTTTTCAATGTTTTAGGTTTTTGATTTTTCAATTTTCCCCTTTTTTAAGGTTTTGATTTTTCGACTTCACTTTTTTGACTTTTTGATTTCTCGATTTTTCAATTTTTTATTTCTCAATTTTGAGATATTTTCAGTTTTGAGATTTTTCAGTTTTTCCATTCTTCAGTTTTTCTTTCATTTTTTTAATTTTTGGAAATTTCAGTTGTGGGATTTTTCAACTTATTTATTATTATTCAATTTTTCGATTTTACAATTTCTCAATTTTTCAATTTTTCGATTTTCAATGTTTCAATTTTCCAATGTTTCAATTTCAAATGTTTTCAATTTTTCTCTTTAATTTTACGATTTTCAAATTTGCTATTTTTCAATTTTTCAATTTTTGACTTTTCTAAATTGTCAATTTTCCGATTTTTAAAGATTTGGATTTTGCAATTTTTCAAATTTGACTTTTATAAACTTTCAATTTTTCGATTTTTCATTTCTTCAATTCTTCAATTTTTCAAGTTGTTAGGTTTTGATTATTCAATTTTTCAATTTTTTTTATGTTTTGATTTTTCTACTTCACTTTTTTGACTTCTTAATTTCACAATTTTTCAGTTTTTTAATTTCTCAGTTTTATATATTTCAGTTGTAAGATTTTTTCACTTTTTCCATTCTTCAGTTATTGTTTCATTTTTCAATTTTTCGAAATTTCAGTTTTGGGATTCTTTAGATTATTTATTATTATTCAATTTTTCGATTTTACAATTTCTCAATTTTTCAATTTTCCTCTTCAATTTTACGATTTTCAAATATTTCGATTTTTCAAATTTTCAATTTTCGACTTTTCTAAATTCTAAATTTTTCGATTTTTCAATAAATTGATGTTTTGATTTTCCCATTTCTTGTCTTGGAACTGTTTCGATTTTTCAGTACTTCAATTCTTTAATTTTTTCATTTTTCCGGGTTTTGGATTTTTCGACTTCACTTTTTGATTTTTCGATTTCCCAATTTTTCAAATTGTTAGATTCTTAGTTTTTGGATATTTCAGTTTTAGAATTTTTCAGTTTATTTATTATTCAATATTTCGATTTTACAATTTTTTCATTATTTCTCCTCTTGAATTTTATGATTTTTAAATATTTATTTTTTGCAATTTCTCAAATTTAACTTTTATAACATCTCAGTTTTTCGATTTTTCATTACTTTAATTTTTCAATTTTTCTATTTTTTAAAGTTTTAATTTTTCAGTTTTTCAATTTTTTAAAGTTTTGTTTTTCAACTTCACGTTTTGACTTTTTGATTTCTCGATTTTTTAATTTTTTAATTCCTCAATGTTTATATATTTTAGTTTTGAGATTTTTCAGTTTTTCCATTTTTGAGTTTTTCTTTCATTTTTCAATTTTTGTAAATTTGAGTTGCGGGATTTTTCAGCTTATTTATTGTTTTTCAATTTTTCGATCTTACAATTTTTCAATTTTTCGGTTTTCAATTTTTCAATTTTTCTCTATAATTTTACGATTTAAAAATATTTTGATTTTTCAATTTTTCAAATTTGACTTTAATTATGAACTTTCAGTTTTTCGATTTTTCATTTCTTCAGTTCTTCAATTTTTCAATTTGTTAGGTTTTTGATTATCCAATTTTTTAGGTTTTGATTTTTCGACTTCATTTATTTGACTTTTTAATTCCTCAATTTTTCAGTTTTTTAATTTCTCAGTTTTTATATATTTCAGTTGCGAGATTTTTTCAGTTTTTCCATTCTTCAGTTTTTGTTTCATTTTTTAATATTTCGAAATTTGAGTTTTTTCATTTTTCAGATTATTTATTATTCAATTTTTCGTTTTTACAATTTCTCAATTTTTCAATTTGACGATTTTCAATATTTCTCCTCTTCAATTTTATGATTTTTAAATATTTAGTTTTTGTAATTTCTCAAATTTAACTTTTATAACATCTCAGTTTTTCGATTTCTCACTGCTTTATTTTTCAATTTTTCAATTTTTTAGGTTTTTGATTTTTCAGTTTTTCAATTTTTTAATGTTTTGATTTTTCGACTTCATGTTTTTGACTTTTTGATTTCTCAATTTTTAAGTTTTTTAATTTCTTAGTTTTTAGATAGTTCAGTTTTGAGATTTTTCAGTTTTTCTTTCATTTTTCAAATTTTCGAAATTTTAGTTTTGGGATTTTTCCGATTATTTCTTACCTACTCAATTTTTCGACTTTAGAATTTCGCAATTTTTCAATTTTTCGATTTTTCAATTAATCGATGTTTCGATTATTCCATTTCTTCACTTTCGACTGTTTAGATTTTTCTGTTCTTCAATTCTACAATTTTTTAATTTATCAGGTTTTTGATTTTTCAATTTTTCGATTTTTTTAGGATTTCGATTTTTCCACTTCACTTTTTTGATTTTTGGATTTCTCAATTTTTAAACTTTTCAGATACTTAGAATTTTGACAATTCAGTTTTAGGATTTCTCAGTGTTTCCATTCTTCAGTTTTTCTTTCATTTCCAGTTTTTCGATATTTCAGTTTTGGGATTTTTCAATATTTCGATTCTTCGACTTTTCGATTTTTGACTTCTGGATTTTTTTTACTTTTTCGTTTTCGATTTTTAAATTTTAGATTTTTCAATTTTTAGATATTTTAATCTTTCAATTTTTAAAATTTTCGATTTTTCGATTTCTCGATTTTTCATTTCAGTTCTTCGATATTTCAATTTTTCAAGCTTTCGAATTTTTCAAATGTTTGATTTCTTCCTCTTTCGATTTTTCGACCTCAGGGTTTTAGATTTTGTTTTTCAATTGTATTTTCCGTTTTTTCAAATTGTCGATTTTTCAATGTTTTGATTTTCCGATTTATCGAGATTTGGATGTTTTTGATCGTTCAGTTTCTCGATTTATTAGTTTTTCAATTTACAACTTTTCGATGTTTTATTTTGGCTATTTCGCTTTATCAGTTTTCCGTTTTTCCGTTTTTTTATTTTTCCGCTTTTAGATTTTTCGATTTTCCAATTCTGCAACTTTTAACTTTCCGTTTTTTCGATTTTGGCCTATTTCGGTTTCTCAATTTTTCGATTTTTCGACTCTTTGTCTTTTGGTCTTTCGATTTTTCAGAATTTCAATTTTTCAATTATTCGAATTTTTAAATTTTTTTTATTTTTTGATTTTTCAAATTTTTAGGTTTTTGATTTTTCAGTTTTTCAATTTTTTAAAGTTTTGATTTTTCAACTTCACGTTTTTGACTTTTTGATGTCTCAATTTTTAAGTTTTTTAATTTCTTATTTCTTAGGTAGTTCAGTTTTGAGATTTTTTAGTTTTCTTTCATTTTTCAATTTTTCGAAATTTTAGTTTTGAGATTTTTCCGATTATTTGTTACCTACTCAATTTTTCGACTTTACAATTTTGCAATTTTTCAATTTTTCGATTTTTCAATGAATCAATGTTTCGATTTTTCCATTTCTTCACTTCCGACTGTTTAGATTTTTCTATTCTTCCATTCTACAATTTTTTAATTTATCAGATTTTTGATTTTCGAATTTTTCGATTTTTTTAGTGTTTCGACTTGACTTTTTTGATTTTTGGATATCTCAATTTTTAAACTTTTCAGATACTCATAATTTTGAAAATTCAGTTTTAGGATTTTTCAGTTTTTCCATTCTTCAGTTTTTCTTTCATTTTCAGTTTTTCGATATTTCAGTTTTGGGATTTTTCAATATTTCGATTCTTCGACTTTTCGATTTTTGACTTCTGGATTTTTCGATGTGTCAATTTTTTTACTTTTTCGTTTTAGATTTTTAAATTTCAGATTTTTAAATTTTTAGATATTTTAATTTTTCAATTTTTAAAATTTTAGATTTTTCGATTTCTCGATTTTTCATTTCAGTTCTTCGATATTTCAATTTTTCAAGCTTTCGAATTTTTCAATTGTTTGATTTTTTCCTTTTTAGATTTTTCGTTCTCTCGGTTTTAGATTTTGTTTTTCAATTTTATTTATCGAGATTTGGATGTTTTTGATTGTTCAGTTTCTCGATTTATCAGTTTTTCAATTTACAACTTGTCGATGTTTTATTCTGGCTATTTCGCTTTATCCAATTGTGCAACTTTTTACTTTCGGTTTTTTCGATTTTGGCCTATTTCGGTTTCTCAATTTTTCGATTTTTCGATTTCGGGACTTTTCGATTTCTCTATCTTTTGATCTTTCGGTTTTTCAGTATTTCGATTTTTCAATTTTTCGAATTTTTAAATTTTTTGATTTTTTAAATTTTCAATTTTTTAGGTTTTTGATTTTTCAGTTTTTCAATTTTTTAAAGTTTTGATTTTTCAACTTCACGTTTTTGACTTTTTGATTTTTTGAGATTTTTCGATTTTTCAATTAATCGATGTTTCGATTTTTCCATTTCTTCACTTTCAACTGTTTAGATTTTCCTGTTCTTCAATTATACAATTTTTTAATTTATCAGGTTTTTGATTTTTCAATTTTTCGATTTTATTAGGGTTCCGATTTGTTGACTTTTCTTTTTTGATTTTTGGATTTCTCAATTTTTAAACTTTTCAGATACTCAGAATTTTGACAATTCAGATTTAGGATTTCTCAGTTTTTCCATTCTTCAGTTTTTCGATATTTCAGTTTCGACTTTTCGATTTTTGACTTCTGGATTTCAGTTCTTCGATATTTCAATTTTTCGAATTTTTCAAATGTTTGATTTCTTCCTCTTTCGATTTTTCGACCTCCCGGTTTTAGATTGTGTTTTTCAATTTTGTTTTTCGTTTTCTCAAATTGTTGATTTTTCATTTTTAAAATTTTTCGATTTTTCAATGTTTTGATTTCCCGATTTATCGAGATTTGGATGTTTTTGACTGTTCAGTTTCTCGATTTATCAGATTTTCAATTTATAACTTTTCGATGTTTTATTTTGGCTATTTCGCTTTATCAGTCTTCCGCTTTTCCGTTTTTTTATTTCAATTTTTCGATTTTTTGATCTTTTGATCTTTCGATTTTTCAGTATTTCAATTTTTCAATTTTTCGAATTTTAAAATTTTTTGATTTATGGAGATTGAAATGTTTCAATGTAAACCATCAGCAGTTTACTGGGGGCTTCCAATATACACTTACAGACAATGTTCACTATTTCGTGGACTCTACTTTATAGTAGCAAACAATTTTTAAATATTTTATAATATACTTGAGAAAGTATATCTACATATATATTCTTTGTTTTTACATTACTTTGTAAAAAATTGATAGAACTTGTTCATGTGGGCATTTAATTTTTTTTTTTTTGGTATAAAAATATAAAATTATAACAATAAGATCAACGACAAGAATAATACCACCAAGTTTTCCATAGTCATTCTTTTATTAACCTGTTAGTCATGCGTATTTATTTTCTTTATAAGTCACATCAGCGTCAAATTTATCCAAGTTTTATTTATGTGTGTTTATTTCAGTGATTCATTCATTCATTAACATTTAATTTTAAAGTCAGAACGATGAACTTCCGTTCATTATAATACTTTAACATTGCATTAACTTTTTTAAACTAAAACAATCGTATATTAGTTACGTTTTACGAAACTCGAACAAGAAAAACTAATTTGGACCAGACATACATATACTAGATGGGTAAGTCGCAACTGCGCCGATAGAGCTTTTTTACGAAAATCATTACCAAAGTGTTCACAGTTTTAAAGATTTTGATTGTCAGTGTAGCGAGAAAAAGTATTTCCAGAAATGAATACAAACATGGAAAAATTCATTGAATCAATTTTAGATACTGTTTACACGAAATTAGATATGCAAGAAAAAATTACGACACGAAATTAAATAAAGCCTTCGCAGAACTGAAGCAGCTGTAAATTTCCACACATAGCAAAATAGTGTATTAACAACACACGTAAAAGCTCAGCAAAATGCGTCCAGGTGTGCTCTAGCGTTGTCAATAAACGCCAAGACATAATTTACAATGCAAAAAGATTAATCCAATAAATCAGAGATAAAGTAGATAGAGCGTCATTTTGAATCCAAATGTCTGAAATGTACTTTACCTTCTGATAACCGCGATGGCGTTCGTCAAAGTCAAAGAGTGTTTAACAGACCCTCGACAATTAGTCAAATTAATTCTCTTGGTTGTGTGCGTCTGCATCACGCTCTATCAGGTAAATTATCGTTTTCGGGATTCTCGCAACATAAAATTGTCTCTAGCTTTCAGAATGTGTTAATAAAATCATGCATCCACCTATTACGTCGTACTATAAGTTTAGACGAAACGATACTATTAAATACCCGGCAGTGACCGTCTGCAGACGACCGAAGTTCAAAAGTCATTTGTTTCCGGTAGGTAGCTTAAAATATGTTGTTTAAAGTACTAAGTGTGTAAATTTTAGCTATATGGATTGAGATCCGTAATTGGGGACTTAGCAGCTTATGATACTTTCAAGTTTTTCCGGTTTGATAGTTATACACTTGAAGAATTTATGAATGAAACAACCTATAGTCTCGACGAGACGATTCCACTGTATGGTTATAAGGGTTCTGGTTTGGGCGAAAGTAAGTACCTATTGGTGTAGTGGTACACATAACAATATGGATTTTCATGCGCCCGTTTTTAGACATTAACTTCACTAGTTCATACTACTCGGATCGCGGTCTTTGCCACACCATCATTCCCAAGGAAACAGCGGACACTTTTTCCGTGAGCACAGGATACTGGTTGTACCTCAAGCATACAACCAAAGAGAAAACCAAAGACGATAACGGTCAATCTACCTCTGGGTTCGAAATCCATATCCACGACCAAAACAACGTCAAAGATGATCTTACTATTAATACAGATTACTTATACATAGAAAGTGCAGAAATCGTTCATCTAACTTTAACTGTTCAAACTTATAACCAAATATCAACGACAAGCGATCCTTGTTTAGATGATCCAGCCTATAGTAAATCTAAAGTAAGTATACTAAAGTGAAAATGATGATCAAAACTGGTCAGTCATTGTTTCAGTGTGAAGAGAAGTGTCTTCACAATGCCGCTGCCAAAGCAGCTGGCTGCAAAGTTCCTTGGCTAAGACAATTAGAAAATGAATATCCAGAGTGTATCAATTCATCAGCCATAAACACAGTGAACAATTTGTTTGGAGAATTTAAGAGGTAGTAACTAGACACACGTCAAATCGGTAACTGATGTCATGATTCCAGAGAAGATATTTTGCAAAAATGTAACTGCGTGAATGCTTGTAATAACTCGATCTACTACTACCAGATTGAAAGCAGGAAAGATGCAGACACCATTTTGTCACCATCTAGCACCATTAGCATTTATTTCGCTTCCGACTTGGTTACAGATCTCACAGAAGTCATTAGTTACGACTGGAACATTTTCTTGTCAGATGTTGGTGGTTCTTTGGGGTTTCTTCTAGGTCTTTCAGTAATTGGTTTTGTTAATGTCTTGGAAGAAATTATTAAACTGGTTTTAAAAAAGGAAGACAAAACGGAAGAAAATTTGGTCGAGAATGAAAAGAAGTTGCCAGATTTTAACACAGAAGGTGGTAACATGGAGGGGGAAAATTTGAAGAGTGTTATGGAGTTTGTGGCAAATTGTGATATGTATCACTATATGCAAGAAAAGAAGATGATGGAGGAACAAGAAATTAGAGAAAATAAATATATCTAAAACGTTTTAAAATTTAATGCATATTTAATGTTATAGGTTATGAAAAATACCATTATGGTTTAGTAATTAATTAGTGTCAATTTTAGAATTTGGAACAAAAGTTATATAGTCAGTATTAATAAAAACCAATCGAAAATTCATAGTCTGTTAACATATATGTTCTAGTAAAGCAAAAATGACGCACTAAACGATTTTCCTTTTACTGTACTTTCCCTTTCGAGCTTGGCAATGCGTGCACCTTTTACACATTTTTCTGCATATTTTTGGAGACCGCCCCAGTAAAATCTATTTTTAATTTTATGAAAGGCTTTTACAATCGCCAAGTGTCCTGATATCGTTCCGAGTGATTTGTGTATAATATTTCATGAATTAAAGCCGACGTATAACCAATAAATTTTCCTAAAGCATTCTTTTTTACAAAAAACTCTATTCGTCATAAGAAAAATTTTTGCGATTGGTGCTGTGGTTATTTTTCTTTCGAATAGTTTAAGTGATATTTTATGTTTGACCAAATTTGTGGTAGTCGTAAAACTTGATTATGATTTAACATTATACTAAGGGTATCTGCTGATACGACTTATCAAAAATCAATATTTCACGACACCCTGGTACTCGAAAATGTTTTGGAATATTATATACTGTTTTCTGCCTTTTATACAGTTTTTGTTAATATTTTATATTTGTTAATTCTGCAGCCGTCATTCCGTCTTGTTGTTAAATGTCAAAAAATGCTTGCGAAAATTTTTACAAAAAATTACATGTGCATAGTCTGTTTTGAAATTGTTCAGGAACGTTATTTTTTGAAAAATTGTGAGTTGAATTTAGATTTTCTCGTCTGTCACAAAGAATAGTAAGTGTTATGACTAATATGTATGTGTGTTAGCTTTGTTTATTGTGATATTTTTTCTAGAATAGATATTTGTTTGATTTAGAAAGTTTCACAAAATAATATTATAGTGCCATATATGGTGGAGGCGCCGGGTCTTTTTTTCTATTTAAATTAATTTTATAGTTTTACACTTTGAAAATTCTACGATTTTGAGTTTATTTTTATCGATGGTTAGGCTACAAAACATTGAAGCACATTTTTATTGTTTATTTTTTCTACAATTAAATAATTCGAGAGGTTAATCACTCGTGAATTCTGCTGTTCACTTGAGGTGAATTCCATCAGAAATCTTTGCAAATTTCTGAAATCATAGGAACTCATTTGAACTTCTTGATGTTTTTATGAATTCCGTCTAAATTCTTGAATTCATGTTAATTCGCGTGAATTCTCTGTGAATTTGCGCGAACTCTCTGTGAATTCGTGTGAACTCTTTTTGAATTCTTGTAAATTTAATTGAATTCTATTTGAAATCTGCACGGTTTTGTTAACCTTGACTAAACCAATGAAGTCTCTTCGCGCCAACTCATGGTGCAGTGTGCAATCATCGGAGCAACCACTGCTATTCCCGGCCTAATTTGCAGAGATTTCTTGTCGTTTATGCCTTAACTGAAAAGAAAAAATGGGTGACGTTCCGAATCTTGATTTAAGTCGAAATGTAAGTATATATTTTTTGTTTTTATGTTCATGCATGCAGATAATAATTTTTTCCAATCGTTAAAATTATGTTTTAATCATTGTTTAGTAACCATGAAAGTTGGTCTTCGTTCATACTGTGATCAAAAAATTTTAATCATAAGTGAGGTAAAAACTTTGATCATTGGTCAAAAGTATCGTATTGTTTACGATATCTTTCTTCAAATTTTGTAGTCAGCAACTTTCCAGCTGCAGTCTGGGCTTCTTCTTCAACATCTGGAGGCGTTGTATCCATTTCTTCTACCAGTTCTTCCATACTTTCAACTCAAAAACACCAGGTAAACGGAATCAGACCATTCGAGAAAAATTGTTGATTTATTTGTGCCCGTCACTATGGATATTAAATTTATCTCCGGCAACTATGTGCATTCAACGATCTTTGATATGAACGAAACTTTTAAAAATTGTTGTTTTTTTATTTTAATTTTAAAATTTGTTGTTTTTTTATTTTAACTTTTAAAATTGGAAAAAATGGTAAACTTACTTCACGCGTGAGGGAACTGAATGTTAATCACTCATGGACCTTACCTCACTCGCCTACAGCTCGTGAGTTAAGTGGATCCACCTGTGATTAAAATTCTGAATCGATCACTGGCTGAGTAATATATGTACTATTAAAAATTAAATGAAACATCTTCCGGCTTTTATTATCTAAAGTATTATTCTTGGTATTTTATTTTCAGGTAAACTTAGTTGGCAGTGAAAATTTAAACTCTCCAACTCATGCAACCGTTGACAAAAATGTCTCAAAAAATGCATTTTGGGTAAAAATGCAAAACTCTTTAAAACGTGAGTTTCCAACATACTTAATTAACATAATGAGTCTTTGTGGATTTGATAATTCAATTGCAATAACCCAAATTGAAATGTCAGATATTCACGATATAGAAAAGTTTGCACGGTCAGACATGCAGTCCATTATTGGAGAAAATTCTTTTATGTCTGTACTTTTACGGCATATATCAGCATAGTAAGGACAAGTTCAAAATACTTCCCGGCCATGTAAAAATATTTTTTTCAATGAAGAACTACCTGCTATCCAATCATAAAGAAGATTTTTCCAGACGTATCCCTAATGAGAAGAGTGAGAAAGCACCAAGGAAGGTATCCACTACGAGTCAAATTTTGTCTAAAAAAACAATTGAGGAGACAAGTGATGAAAAAGAAAGAATTGTAAAACAAATTCATACTTGGGTCACAAACACATTGAAGAGCGATAAGAATAACACCATGCAGAAAATACAAGAACTTATTTCATTAACTTCTTTGGATATAGTACTTGAAGGAAATAATGCAAAAATAAAATGCGGTATGTGCAAAAATCGAAGTAAAAATGGAAGTTTTGTCACGATAGCAAGCTCACTGTTGAAAAATGGAAGGCATTGGATTATTTCTAATTTTGTGCGGCATGTAAAACTACATCATATTGAGATGAATAACAGTAATAAAAGTGGGGATAAAAACAAGCTGATAGAAAATAAAAAAGAAGAAAAGAAGCAGATTTCAATTTTGCAACATATCGTTGTTAAATCTACAAATAAGCCATGTATTATTACCCGTGTTCCAGAAGAAGAAACCTTTGAACGAACTTCACCTTTCAAAATAGATAACAACTCATTTATGTCGTCTTGTGAAACATCATTAATATCTCCTTCATTGTGTTCATCCACGTCCGAAACATTGTCTTCGGTCAATGAAGATCCGAATGGTGTTAAAGAGAACGAAACTGCTTGTAATAGCCTAGCCAATAACCTGCACAAGAAAAATAATAATAATAATAATGTAATAATGGAAGTTACAAATTTAAACGAGACTGATGACGATGATGAACCTTTGAAAAAGTATGCTCGCAAAAACAGTGACGACTGTATTCCTCAGCAATCGGGGGCAAATTGCACTGAACTAAGTAGGATTGTTCAGTGAAATAAATATGCAATCCTACATGTTTCTTTTAACAATGGCATCACGCAAAAATGGAAAGATCCAAAGTATTCTCTTAGAGAAAGAAGAGCGCGAGTATTAGAAAAAGCTGCTCAAAACTGTCAAACATTAGATTCCTTTGGGATAATTGTACATAAAATCGAAAATAAAATGGGTATACTTTTATGGTTACGTCATTTATGAAAAATAAAAGTAGAGCTCACAACCAAGAAAAGAGTCCAGTTCAACGTCAACATTTTTGAAACTCTTGAAAAAATCTGCAGAGACAGTTTCATTGCAAAAGTAACCGCTATGAAAATTCTCTAAAACTTTTTTCCACATATTTGTTTATAATTGCTGGACGATCTGCGTATCAAAGGTTATCAGCCAATTTGCCTCTTCCATCTGTACCAACTGTCTTAAGATCAATTCGAGACAGTGATAATTTTGTCTTAGAGGGTAAAGTAAGGTTACAAAAACTAAGCGAATACTTGACAAAATATAAGCTGCCTCGAGTGTTGTGGATGAGTGAAGATGCTACTGGAGTTACAGGAAGACTTCAGTTTGAACCTACCACCAACCAAGTGGTTGGATTTGTTTCTCTTTGGCAGAAAATGGATTTCTTGTTATTACAAATTTTCCAGCCGTAGATGCGCCAACTATAAAAAGTTATTTTGATAATGAAAAGGTTTCAAGATTGGTATATGTATTATGATGCAGCCCTTACAAGAAAAGGCCCCACCATATTGTTTATGTCTTTATGGAACAGACAATAAATTTACCAGTAAAGACGTAATGCAGAGATGGAACTTTCTTTTGCAAGAAGCTGCAAAATATGATATTATAATCTTGGGTGCATCTAGTGATGGTGACACACGACTTCTGAAGACGATGTTGTATCAAATGAAAATGGGCGAGCATTGTGATGAGTTTTGTAAATATTTGGCATGCCCTATGCTTCAAGCTGGTGGTGTGTGTGTTCAAGATACCATCCACATTGCTACTAAATTGAGAAATCGCCTATTGAAAACCAGTGCTAAAAGATTTGACAAGACGAAAGAGCAAAAAATGATATTAGGACAGTACGAAATTACTGTTGAAGATTTGTTCAGTCTAGTAGAAGATTTGCCTAAATCTAAACATCTGCTTAGCAAGTCAGATTTAGATGTTAGAGACAAGATGAATTATAAGAGTGTAGAAAAGATCATTACATCCAATATAATTAATTTATTAAAGGAACGTCATGCTCAGGCTACAGCCTATTACCTCGAAATGATTCAGAATTGTGTAACTTCATATATCAGTAATGACCTAACCCCGATGGAAAGAATTTTCAAAATATGGGTAGCCGTTTTTTTCTTTCGAGTATGGAGGTCATATATTAAAAATCGCCTAATCTGAAAATGGACGTTTTCGTAAGTTCGAATGCATACTTATGTTTAGAAATTAGTGCTCATGCAATTGTAAGTCTGATTCGAATCCTCAAACAAAACAATATGCCATCAGCATATTTCATTCCAGTTTTATATAGTAGCCAAACTTGTGAAATTTTTTTCCGTATAATGAGATCAATGACGTCAACACCTTGTACAATGGTAAACTTC